TTTAAGAAGATGGAGTAAAGGACAAAGTTGCATATTTACCACGTCTACCAATTAATGTCTTATTTAGGCATTTGTCTTGCATTACTTCTTCACTTTCAGCACCTTCTTTGTGTTGTAAGTTGCTGAGTAATTTTTAAATATAATATGTTCTCTGATTTTTCTGGGAGTGAGGGGGGTGTGTGGTCTTTTCTAAAAACACCAGATCCTCCATTAACATTCTGCAGGCTTAGAATATGATAACTTTGAAAAAATACATCTCACAGTGCATAAAATAATTTACCCAGTTCATAATGACGAAATAGGCAAAGCTCTGTGGTGCAGAGCAGTCTTTGCCATTATTAAATTCTGTTACTCATTTTTTGCATAAGTCAAAGCATTACCTAAGTTTGTACCATTTTAGAAATCTTGTTACAAAAGTTTTCTTTCTTGCTCCCTAATGCTCTGCTGACCAGGCAGCATCAAGCCCCTCTTCTCCATCTAAAATCCTCTGCTGAATACCCTTCGCAGCTCTTGGTTTGGGGTTTTCTCAGACATGATGAACGTGATCATCATTTGACAGCCAGAGGTGCTCTCAGGTTGGCAGGTGTATCTTACCTCTACTTTCTTCTGTAAAATTTGTGCTAATTCTCGCAGATAGGAATGTTCATTGTAAAGAAAAAAGTAAAATGTGTTTCATTGCTGCAGGAGAAGCAAATGGTTTGTCAGGGTTGGAGCCAGTGAGCACAGTGATGCCTGACTCAGCAAATCTGGCTTGCAGGAATTTGACTGGATGTTTTGGTTTTGGAGCACAGATTTTATTTTTAAACTTGAGTTTTGTTTTCCAGCCCTCCTGCTTTGCCTGATCACACATAGGTTCAATGCAGAGCAGTACACTTTTGAAAATAGGTATGGTGTCAAGAGAGTGATTGCTGCTTTTCTTATATTAGAGTCATTAGGAGAAAGTCCTTTTCAAAAGAAAATGTACCACTTCAAGAAATCTCAGTTTCTGTGTTGATCAGGATAACAAATAGGAATTCATTGCAAAATTCTGAATTTGGGATATTTGCAAGAGAGCTCTCTGGATAAATGAGGCACATCCATGGGCAGCTGAGGCAGCCTGGGGGGAGCAGGGACTGCAGCTGTAGGTTGGTGTGTGGGGCTGTCCAGAGCCCTGGAAATAACTCCCTGGGGAGTGTGATCCATGTCTAGTACAGGTGGTCAGAGCTGCAGGTGTCAGAGGGGGAATGGACAGTCTGGCAAAGGGCACCATCCTGGCTTTCCCTGTGGAAAGCAAGTCCTGGTTCATGGTATTGTGGGATCCCTTTGGTGAGGAGCAGAGGGATGAGCTGCTCGGAGTGAGGAGGTTGTGACCAGCTGAGCATGGCTGGTGACAGCTGGGCTAAAGAGCTGGTTTTTTGGGCAGTAGATCATTTCAGGCTGCAAAAGGATGGGATAAAGAGACTTGACTACATCTTCCCTCTCACGACAGAAGAAAATTCCGATAATCACGAGGCTGGTTTTGTCCATTTCCCATATGTCCAATTCATCTGAGGTCAGATTAAACTCTTACCTCCTTGGAACAGGAAATACAGGGCTTCCTGTTGCACAGAGCTCTGAGCTGCATGTCAGCTCTCGTTAGACAGAAAAGAGTAAGAATGCAATTAGCCTGCTGGATAAAAGGCAGGGAAAAGTCCCTTAACTACGAAAAATCAACACTTGAGGAAGCAAACCACATGTGGAGAACAAATGCTGGAAAAAGCCCCGACTGTTTGGAACAAATGCCTTTATTACTTAAATAAACAGCAGCGTAATTTGTTGGAGTGACAGTGTGAGCTGTTCTGTGCCCTGTATCTGTAAGAAGAATTCACTGCTAACTTGAAAGCAGATGGTTTTATATGGCCCTGGGTGGGTTTTCTGGGAAATATTAGTTCTATACTGCCATACAGGAACAGAAATATCCTACTAATGCTGCAGCAGGCTAAAAGGAACAGGGATAGTGTAAAACAACTATGAAATATGCTGTGTCTGTAGCCCATATTTCAGGTAGATTAAAAGCAGTCATGGATTTTTCATTTTTTTTTAAACATCCTCTGGGAGAACAGACATCTTAAAGTTCATTGGGATCAGGACACAGATGCCAATAGGCTCATAGCCAGGCTCTGTTGTGCATTCTTAGGTTTGAAAAGTACTCCCCTTCCTGCTTTGGAGACAAAACCGCTTTTATTCCATGTGTTTTGATTATTCATTTTTTGAAGCAAATGACGGCAAGTTACTTAAAAGAATTTTAAATGGTCTTTTTTCTCTCCTTTCAAGTAGAGGCACGATATCAGCACATAGCAGTGGTCACCTCAGCAACCCCAGTATTTCTGTAGAGTTTTAAGTAGATAAATAAGGATGAGAGTAGAGACCATTTTGTAACTTCCACCTCCTAAATGCCTCCTGCCTCACTCCATGCTGATCACAGGTGAGCTGGTGCCTGTAGAACCACTCTTTTACATAGAGCTGCTTGTACCTTTTGTTCTCTGCCATGCTGTTGTTTGACTGTATGTCTGTTACCTGAGTTAATCATATCACATCTAAATTTAGCCTGTAATCTCTTTAGGACAGTGGCAGTAGTTGCAAAGTCAGAGCTGAGCAGGTCTCACGTATGTTGCCTACTGCAGCTTGGCCCTGTGGCTGATGCTGAGGTCTGCAGGAGTATCTTTGAAATCTAAGAGCTTGGGTTGGCAAAGCTTGTCCTTGACCTCCGCTGGGGCAGTGCAGGAGGTTGGGCCCTGCACAGAGCCCTGTGTGCCAGGCCCATTGCAAAAGCACTGGCTGTGTTGTGGCACACCCTGTCACAGCTGCCTCAGCAGTTGGGTGCCCCAGGACCTGGTTCTCTGCCATCCGTGATCTGCAGAAGTAACTGTACCAAAGTTTAAACTGAGTCTTCAGTTTTTAAACCTGCAAATGTTTCTTCATGCAGGCTGCAGGCACCACTCACAGCCAGCAGCAGGGAACATGCTAGAATGCAAAGACTCAAGTTGACTGGAGATGTTTCCTGCAGCTGATTCTGTGCTGGGGGTCTTGCAGTGGGAATCCTTTGCTCTGGAAGCTCCAGAAAGCTGCAGTGAATGAACAGAGACAGTGGCTGCTGAGCCCATGTACCATGGCAGGGCATAGCCTTTGGCTCAGGGGTGGGTCAGAATGCCTTTAGATAGATTGGACTCCAGCTGGATGATGGAAATGCAGCACTGGGCCTGGAGATGGGAGATTGTGAGTCTGGGATACGTTGATGTAGGAGGATGTGAAAGCTTTGAAAAAATGCCCATATAGGTAATTTGTAGCACAGTGTGTGTGTTACCTTTGCGTGTGAGATAATACCTGGTGTCTAGTCCTGGCTCTGTGCTGATGGATAATCCTGGGCTGGCTCTGACACTTGGGTGCCTCTGTTCCCCCACTAAAGGAAGCACAATGCCCCTCTTCACAATGTCCTGTACTACCTCTATATGCTACCTGACAGCTAATTACTACACTTAAACAACAAAAACCCAGATAAAAATGCCCTTCTGGGGAAGGCTGATGCTGCTCTCTTCCTCTCCCTTGTGGGCTGCTCTGGCATCAGTAGTGAGCAAGATGATCCCCCTCCTCCTCCTTTCTCTCTGCAGACTGGGATGAGGTGGGGTGGGCCCCCAACATAAGCAGAGTTTTTCTCCTCCCTGCAAAAACTATTTACATTTTGTTGTATGGACTCAGGGTACTGTAATACAGAAAGGGTAGCAGGAAAAGGTGTCCTGCATCTCTGAATCACTAAGGAAAAGCAGTCAGCTTTGTTTTGTTTTTATTTTTGTTTTAGTAAAAACACACTTCCCACTCTTAACTTTTGAAACTTCCACGTGGCACAGAGGGGGATCGGTTCCAGTTGATATAAGCCTGGATGAAGAGAGGGAGGAAATAACTTAATTGCTTTAGTTCAGCTGGAGTGGAGAGGAAAGAATCAGTGTCCCTTTTTTTGGAATTCAGCAAGAAGATTGTGTTGTTGGTGAGGACAGATCCCCTGCAGGTTCTGTGGAGGTACTGTATGGATTCTGGGGGCATTCGCAAAACAGGTGGCTATATATTTAAAATAGGAACTCTGCTGTCAGGGACAAAAAGCTGTGTTGCTTTCTTGGAAGTATTGCTGCACTTGGAGCATACTGTGTTATCAACAGGGTGTTTCTGTGCTTTCACCAAGAGGGGAGAAAATAAGGAATGGGATATTTCTGGGCTGAATAGGGGTGTGTGTGTGTGTGATGGAAGGTTCTGATGTTAGTGCTGTAATGTGGGGCTTAGAAGATAAAAAAGAGATTGGGTAGATGGGATGTTACAACAAATTTGGGGACTTTGCCTCTTAAACATCTGTAGTTTCAGCCCGTTGATCCCTGGTCCCTGAAGATCAGTTGATAGGTTGAAAACCAGGGAGAGTTAAAGGGGAGGGAGATGAAATGCAGGAAAAACTGCTGATCTGTCACTCGTAGCTAATTTGAACCAGACCCCCAGAGAATGGGAGGACATTCCCACCTGGGATTCAGATTTTGGGTTGAATGCAGCTAAAATCAAAGATCTAGTCCCAGTGCAGCTCCAGTCTCCTGCAAGGAAATGCAGAAGCACAACCGTCTCTGTTCTCCTCTGCCAATTCCAGCACGCTGGCTTTTGGCATCCTCACGGAGCCTGCAAACTGTGTTGACAAAAAGTAATGGGAGATTGTTTATTTCCCAAGTCTTTATATTCAGTCAATAGCTGCTTCCTCTTTCCTACTCACATTTTCCCATATGGTGACTTTGGAAAATTCCTCTCCGATTTCGTTGGGAAGTGCAGGAGGCTCTCGTTGGTAGAGGGTTGCCTGTTGCTCTCTAATTCTGCTGCTCACATCTGGAAAGGATCTGGCTTGGAAAGGGGAGACTCGCTGTGAGCTCAGTGCATGTCACTGACATGGCATGAGTGAGGGAGCCTGTGGGGGCAACAGAAATGTTCTTCTCCATTCAGCTGAGTTCTGACAGCAAAGGTGAGTTTTTCAGCACTTTATTTGTTTCAAAAGCTGGATTGTCAGAACCTGCAGCAGCAGCAGTCTGCCTTTCAGCTGCAGCTTTTAGCAAGGATATTCAGTGTAACAAACTCAGTTAACCTGTTGATTTTGAAGGAGGATCTTCCCGTTTGGTGGATGTTTTTCCTATCTCTGTGTGTGTGTGTCCTGTGAGAATGTGTGGACGATAACAGATAACAGAGATGAGATACTTTGAAAGAGATTCCGTTGTTTATTGAGGTAACTGTGATCACTGAGAAGCATTCGGTAACTCCTAAAACTTCAGTTTATCTCTGGAGACTGTGTCTTTTGTAGCACCCTGTCTCTGGTGCTGTGGGGCACCAAAGGGCAGGTGCCGGTTCTGTCTGGACTCAGAAAGATGCAGTGCAGAAGCCCCTGAGCTGGTTTCAGGGTCCCTTCAGTCTCTGGGGGGCAGGACCTGATCCAAAGCCCACCTACAGCCAGGGAAGAGGACTGTTTCTAGTGGGTTTTGAGCTACTCCTTTAGAAAAGTTTCTTAATAAGGCTTTGGATCAGGCCCATGGGAATGAGTTGAAATGGAGTGAGTTACCTCAGACTTTCTTTGAACTAAAAATCACAATCATGCCTGGTTTTGCTGCCTGCACTCCAGATGTACACAGATGTTCCTGTATCCAAAGTGTCTCCCTGTGCTAGAGCAGCATTCACTCCAAAGGCGTTGTAGCAGACAATAGTGCTGACAAGGGGGTGAGATTGCCTCTGAAATTTTATTGTGCAATAGATAGAATATTTCATGTTATTTTTTTAACATCCTTTCAGCTGCATATGTGGAAAAGTCAGCATGTTGCAAATCTGTAGAGCTCAGTACCAACCACAATGTAATTTGTGTTGCTACAGCAGGGCTGGTTGGGACCTGCATATAAAAGATTTTTTTCTTTAGTTTCTTTTGTAAGTATCTGTAAGGGTAAGCTGATATATAGGGAAAATACTTTGTTAGAGACCTGAGATACCTTCTGAGATTATTTTCTCTAAGATTTCTGAAATATTTTCTGAGATTAGGTCACCAAATACTAAAGATTTTACTAATCCACTGTTGGCATACTCATATGGCCAGTTTTGATCTCACTGTTAATATTTAGCTGCCATACAAGGAATGTTTTATAAAAGAGATTAATTTCATTATATTCAGCTATTCAGCTATATGGAAGCTGTGAAATAGTGGAGTAGGGGGAAGAGGGATCGATGCTAAATGCTTAAAATCACCCAGCACGTTTGTAGCAAAGACAGGGACCAAAGCAAAACCATCTATGTCTTGGGATGCCCTGCCCTGTAGTCCCACCTGCTCCCATTTCTTCAAGTATAAGTCAATGTTTAAAGAAATTATTTACAATTTTCATGACTGTGACTGAGAGCAGGATCTGTCCAATGCTCCCCAAGCACCCAAAGTCTGTGAGAGCCCCTGGTGCAAAGCAGCAAAGCCCAGTGGGTGTAAATGGAGATGTGCAGTTCTGACAGCTGCCAGTGTGGCTCTGGGAGGCTCTTGTTTCTGATGCAAAGAAGGCATGTGGGCTGGCAGAGGTGAACAGAGTACTTATTTCATGTCATGAATCCACTGTGCCTTTTCACCTTAAAAGATCAGCCTAAGTAAGTCTCATCACTGTTGAATGCTTCTGATTAGAATAGCCAAGAGGATAAAAGACAGGCCATAACCAGCCCTGACTGAAAACCTTTATGTATGAAATCTGAGAAGGGCAACAAATGGGACCGAGGGGGCTGGGTTAGGGCCAGCTGGCTGCTCCAGTCCATATCCAACTTCTGTTTGGATTATTTTAACCTGCTGCCAGAAAGATAAAAGCTGAACGTGAGCCAGGCCACTTAGTTCAGATCAGCACTGTCCAAAATCCATAGGAAGCCCGTTTTGTTTTCAGTAGCCATGAGGTTTTGTTGTTGCTCCATGCACGTGTAGCAGCCCCTCCGAGGGTCACTCTTGTCCAGCCTCTGTGTTGTTTAAATAACGAGAAGAGTTTCTCCCTAAGCAAAACTGCGAGGAGCAGTGCGACCGACAGCCACACTGAACTAACATTTTATGAATCTCCGGGGATCACCTGGCGTTTCTCAATATGAAAAAAGCAATAACTAACCGGAGGAATTTGGGCCGGTGTGGGGGATGCTGTGCCCGGGGCCCGCATCCCGGTGCCCAAACCGCGCTCAGAGGGCGTGAAGGCGCCCCGAGAGAGCGGGGCCGGCGCCGGGCTCTGGTCCGGGCCGTGCCCCGGGGTTGACCCGCCGTGCCGGGGCTGACCCGCTGTCCCGGCCCGTGCCCCGGGGCTGACCCGCTGTCCCGGCCCGTGCCCCGGGGCTGACCCACTGTCCCGGCCCGCAGGGGCGATGCCGGCCGGCGGCCGGGCGCTGCTGGCGCTGCTGGGGCTCCCGGCGCTGCTGGCGCTGGGCTGCGCCGCCCACACCGACACCGAGCCCGAGCCCGAGGGCGGCCCGGCCCCGCGGCCCGGCCCCGCCTGCCCCCGCGACTGCGGCTGCACCCAGGAGGGCGTCGTGGACTGCGGTGGCATCGACCTCAAGGAGTTCCCGCTGCTGCTGCCCGAGCTCACCAACCACCTGTCCCTGCAGGTAAGGGCGCGCCGTGCCCACATCCCGCCCTCCTCCCGCTCCTCCCCGCTCCCCTCAGCCCCGACCCGGCTGCCCGCAGGGAGCAGCAGGTGCAGCGGGCCTTAAGCTCGACGGATGTGCCTGGTTATCGGCACTAATTCTCTCCCCGCAGATCCAGGGAGGGCAAAAGATACGAAATTTCTACCTTTAGTCTCTCACAGCTTCATGGAAAGAATTTTTGTCCGAACTAACAGTTACTGTTTCTGGTGAAGGCCTTTCATTTTGAGGTGTCTTTGAGAAGGATGGGCTAAGTTTCTGGGCAGCACTGCCTGTTAGTCCAGATGTTGAAGACACAGTGAACCTGTGCAGACACAGGGCCAGCCTGTGTTTCCTCATGTCCCATCTCTCCCTCAGCACACAAACTCAGCAAGAAGCAGGGGTGACACAGCCAGTGCCATCCCTCACTCCCAGTGGCACTGCCTGTGGCAGGGACACTGATGTCATGCCTGCAGCAAATGGTTCCGATAAGGACACGTAAGGTTGTGAGATTCCAGCTTAAGGTAGAAGAAGCAGGATGTCCTGGACTGTCAACAGGTTTCCATGCTCTGCTGTTAGTTAATTGATCTCTATGACCAGCATTTGGGCAGGTGTCCTTTCCATGGCAGTGCTCTGACACCTGCAGGTGTGGCAGGGCCAGAGCATGGCAACCTTGTGGCCGTGCCTCCTCTGAGCAGTGGCAGCAGTTCCAGGATTTCCAATGCCTTGCTTTTGGTTTATTGCTCCTATCTGCCAGTTCTGTGCAATGGATGAAATGCAGATTTTGTTCAGAGCTTTCCAGTTAGAAAAACTGTAATGTAAGCTGGCACCTTCCTCAGCAGATCTGTCCCAGGCGAGTGCTAGCCATGGCTCCTGCCTCTGCTGCCAAAAGAAAAGCAGCTTTTTGGAGCAGCAGCTGTCATTTTCTGTGCACTGGCCTGGCTTCCAGCACAGCAGGACCTTAACTGGTCCCTTAGATGCTAAAATAGAATCACTCATTAATGGTCAAAATGTTAGTCAGCACATTAATGAAAATCTGACGGCAGTCACCCCTGACAGTGGTACTAGTGAAAGTGAGCCCAGTTTGACGCTCCCTTTCTGTGACAAGTGGCTTCTAAAACAACCCAGGAATAACAGAAGTGATAAACTTGGAAATCCACCATGCCAACCTTGTAGCAGCTGCTCTGCTGCAGCCACAAGGTTTGGCTTTGGCAGATGGGTTATTGGGCCTTGCCAGGCATAATCTCACTCTGTGTGCTACCAGTGCATAAAACAGGTATTCCTGGGGATGAACAGAAGTTCAGGTCTTCTAATGCTGCTAGGTTTGGATGTCTTGTTTTTGATATTTGAGTTTGGCTCATTACAGAGAGAAGTCTTGACAGTGATTTGGCATGGTGGGGTCACTTCCAGATTTTATTGGAGTTCACAGTCTGGGTTTACTGGGATCCTTCTTGGATTACTTTGCTGATGATTAATACTCTCCATTTTCTTAGAATAACCAAATAGAAGAAATCTTTCCAGAAGAACTTGCTCGTCTTTACAGACTGGAAACTCTCAATCTGCAAAACAACAGGCTGACTTCAAAAGGTGAGCTGGCAGAGCCATGGGGTGGACAGAGCCTGTGCCTCCAGAACACCAGTGACACCTGATAAAGAAAGCCACAGAGTGATGGATTGACTTGGTTGGAGTGGTTCTCTGCAAGCCTCACTCCTTTGGCCATCACACACATCATGGAGACACTTTATCATCTGAAACACAAGACTCAGTGTACAAGAATGCAGCCCTGCTGAACCAGGAGGAGACCTGGCAGCAGCTCCGTGTGCTGTGGCGTGAGATCTCCTCATCCAGGAAACTCCCTCTGGTCCCACAGGCTCTTCCATGCAATGCACTGGGGAACCAGAAACCTCCACATGCTCAATGATTTCCTCCTGACTGACCTTGTTCAGTTCAGTCTAGGCAGTCAGTTCGTGTAGTTCAGTCCAGTTCTGTCCTCATTGAATTTGGCATAAATACAAATATACATTGCAAATAAGGACATTTCTACGCTTCCAAAACCATTTTGATTTTAGTAGGCAGGTTTTCCTTGCTTGGTCATATGCTTATGTGGGAAACTTGATAAGGAGCTAATAAGGAAAGCAAAAGAAACTCAGGAACTGGAGTAAATAGTAAGAAAGCATGATATGGGATACAAAAGATGTAATTGTTGTGCATCACATTAACTTGTGATCCAAATGCTCTTGCTTTCCTTATTGCAATGGCAGAGGACAGCCTTTATTGAGAATGTGGGAATATTATCCCTGGGCCCCAAGGCACAGCACTCCTACACAGCATGGGGAAGGCTGTGCCTAATAGGTTCAGCCTTTGACATTATTACCTTTGGGCCTTCTTGTTCCTTTCACAAGCTGCAGTGCAGCCCTGAGTTTCCAACATGTTTTGACATGGGAAATGGCTTCACCTTTGACTCCTGGTTATCTCAGTGCCAGGCGAAAGTGTTACTTGCAGTGTTTCCATTGTGACAGCAATTGTGGTTGTGTGATCAGCTGGATGTGGAGTGACTCAGCTGAAAATGAATAATTACTGGGGGAGGATAAGCTCTGAGCTGGTTACTGTGTCGATGGATATCTCTGCTGTGGGGAGCAGGACAAGGGAAGGGTTGTGGCACGCAGATACTGGTGTGATTTTGGCAATGTAGTCCTACATCAGATCCATTCATTGAGCAACCTCAGATTATGCCCTTGCAAGAAAAAAGATTTGCAGAATCATAAGCAAATTACAAAAGAAACTGCTCAGACAGTGTGGTTGCTGCAAGGGGGGTCTGCCCAGCTCTGCCCCTGACTCCTGCCAGGGGGGTTGGCCACAAGCCTTGTATGCTCAACGTTCCTAATAGTCTTCCATTGCTCTTAACAGCCAGTATTGTTTTGTGGCATTTTGAATTAAAAAAAATTAACAACAATAGGTGTGACCCAGATTGTTTCATTGGCCATAAAAAATAGTTCAATCTCACATGAACAATACCTGAGAGAGAAAGCTGCCCCCTGGTGTTTTCTCTCAGAGAGGCAGTAAGGTGCCAGTGTCACTGATTAGTTATTCCTTTTTTTAAGGGTTGCCAGAAGAAGCATTTGAACATCTGGAGAACCTGAATTACCTGTACCTGGCAAACAATAAGGTAAGTGGCTCTGAAGCCTTTCAGAGTTCTTTTCTAAATTGATTCTGGAAGTTAAATGAGCAAGTTGTCAATTCTTTTAAAATGTACATACTAAATAAGCAAAATGTGCTAAAGTGATATTCTAATGCAGGGTCATCTAAGGTCAAGACAATCAGTATGTGAAAAATTTAGAGGCTACACATGCAGGTATATTTTGAACACTTATTTATTTGTGCAACTGCTGAAAGGTTTCCCTTGTATAGGGAGGTACAGAGAGCCCCTGCATGCATAAGTTACCACTGTCTTCAGTAGGCTTTGGATCAGCTGCATGGAGATTTGTTTTCTGCCTGTATGCAAATAAACTGGGAGGGAATGGTGTGAAACGCTGCCTGTCTCATCAGATGAGGCTGGTTGAAAAATTTATGAACAAACAGGACTTAGTACCTGTGTTTGAGGCATCAAGATCTGTCAAAGGCTATCCAGTTTTCCCTGACTCCCATTCTTATTAGGTTTGATATGGGGAGGATACCCACACACAGTGAAATGTGCCAGTCAATAATTTATTCTTTTAGCTGCAGTGATAGGAGCTGAATTTCTTTTTCTAATGGAGAGGATCCTGAGTGCTTTCCTATTACTGACTCAAGTTGGATGTCTTGATCTTTCCTGCCAAGGCTACGAAATGAAATAGCTTCTCACATACCCTTACATCTGGGTGGTTACCATTATAACTTTCTTTATCCCCAGTGATTGTCCACAAATATTTGTTACAGAAGAAACTGGGCTACCACAGAAAAATATACGTTAAAACATCAGACAGAGCTTCTTTGTCTACAAAAATCCTGCCCTTCCATCTCACCCTCCCTCTCTCTATATATATATTTATGCCTGTATATATATATTATTATCCTCTTAAAATCTGGGACCATTTGATGTTTTTATTAAATACATGTGGCCCCATTTAGGTTTCGGTCAGGCCAAGACACATCCAGAATCACTCCATACAGAAATATATGGAGTGATTGAGAATAGAACCCATTCCTTAGTACAGTAACATTGTGTTCTTTTCTCTCTTTCAAGCACCATTTCCATGTAACAATCTTGGCAGTTAATAACCCCATAAAAGGGAACAAGCCAGGCTGTGAGTAATATTCCAGAACCTTGCACTCCGATTTTCCCTGTGCGACAAAACAAAGTGTTTGGTTTTTCTGGCTCTGTGGCAGAGAAAAAAAGAGTCCCAAAAGAAATTGCCCACATCAGCGAATGTCAGAAGCAGTTATAGTGAGAAGTTGTGGACCCACAAAAATAACACATTTCTATATAAATCCCAAGCCAGGACAAACCAGATTGGCTTCAAACTGCAGGAAACACTGTGGATCAAGTTACTGCGGTGTCTGGAGGAGAGCAGGGATTTGCTGGTAGTTTGCTCCTTGTTTTATGGATTATCTTAATGCATGTTTATCTTCCATTGTGATCCCATCAGATGTAGCTAAATCAACTTTCATTAAACTGGCACAGATGGTCAGAGAAAAGAAATGTAATAGACTGAAAGCCTTCTGTGGGTTATGAGTGCCAAGTACTTCAAGGAAAGAAGGGATGTTGTAGTTTCCTTTCTAATTTTTCACCCCATTCTCATATTTTGTATCTCTCATATAGTATGCACAGTGAAGAAATTATTTCACCAAACTGTAGACCAGGTCCTGAGCTGTCATGATTTACTGTAAGTTGGTGACAGAAGGTTTTGCATTTCCTCGTATCCCCAAAGTGATATGGGATTCACCTGGATCCAGTACTTCTGTTTATATCAAAGCTTGATCTAAGCAAGAAAACCTGTTTCAAAACTTTTGTATTAACCTTCTGAATTCATTAGTTAACAGTGGATAAAACACTCTGCCATATGGAAAGGAAGGTCCAGCAGTAAAGCTGCAAGGAAATTGCAGCTGGAGAAAGTCAGATTGTTAGGCAATAAACTGGACAAAGCTATTCAGTCAACCTCATTGTTGCTAATACTTATAACAATCCAGCATTAATCCTTCAAGCAGTCAACCAGTGGAATCAGTCTCATGACCAAATGCTGAAATGCCAAAGCAAAGTCCTGAGCAAGTGAAAACTCTTTCTGGATGAAAGTTCTCTTTCCTCTTTCTTGTGGTTCTGATGTCTCTCATTCCACATGTCTGAGCCATGCCCTTTGTTCTGTATAAAAGTTATGACCTAACTGACCATGTTTCTGGAGAAAAGCTTTAATGTGCCACCCTGTATGAAAATGATTAAGTCTTGTTTCCTGTGTCTGAATTCTCAATATTATTATGTCACAGTAGAGACTTATTTGAGGCACTGTCAGACCTTCCTAGTCAGAGATGAGTGCCTTTATCCAGTTCCCTGGTACCACATCTCCCACATCAGGAGACAAGAGATTGCCATAAAGCCAAGAGCAGTACTGTGGCAATTGCAGTAATATGCAGAATGCCTAATTCCACTGCTTACATACATCTGGGAATACTGACAGGAGTGTGATTTGTGGGAAAGGTCTTTTCTGTGTTTGTGACCATTAAACAATTAAGACAGGCTAAGGATGGAGATTTCAGGACAGCTGAAAATGAAGAACAGTAAATAACATGCTTTCATCTTTTTTAAAGAAAGGACTGTTTTATGAGTCCAGTAAATTGGAAGTTCATGGCTGTAGTTCATCAATGCACACTTGACACACTAGATGGGTGTAGACACCCTTTAGATAAATACATAGTTTAAGGCTTGGGTTAGGCAGTTCTCCAATGAAGTGTCTATTCTCTCACACAATGTTCATATTTTAAATGTTTTTGGTTTTACACTATCATTCATAACCAATTGAAGTTTTATGGTAATAAAAATTTGAAAAATATGTTTTCTCCTCGTATAAGTCTTGCTGTGCCTTGCTGGCTGAAAGGACCAGGCTCTGTTTCACACAACAGAGCTGTGAGGACGAAGCTTTACAGATCCCACGAACCTCAAGCTAGAAGGCAGATTTCATCATCCCAGTTTCCTGTCCTGATCTCAAAGCTGTAGATGGCAATGAATTCAGTATCTCACCAGAAAAGTTCTCTCCATAGCCCTCCAGAGTGTACATAAAATACTGGGTGGTCTCAGCAATGAACACCTGTAACCACAGGGACTGCACCTGCCCACTGCAACTCAGTGCCTTCTGCTTCTGTGCTCAAGGACTCTCTGTTACACCACTGTATTACTAATTTGTCTCCCAAGGGCTTAATCTTCATGCAAAAATCTATGGGTTCACGCTTCCCAGAAAACTTTCCTCCAGCCTGGATTGTAACCTGTATTCCTGGTTTTCTGGTGAATAACTTTGCTTTTAACAGCCACTCAGTGAACCTGGCTGTTGCTCTGTAAAACTGAGCTTATTTTGATCAGTGCTCTTCACTCCACCAGTTTGTTCAGGTGCACGTGTTTCTAGTGTTATTTTTCAAAATCCCTGATAAAAACAGCAAGAGACCAAGAGCAAACAGATTCAGTCCTATACCTGTTGTCAACTATTAAGTTTTGGAGACAGAACCTTTCTGTATTTTCTGATACATCACTTTTTTATTGAACAAAGTATAACTGTACAGTAGGTTTTTGCTTTGAAATCCCTTTTGATAACCCAGCATTCCTGTTCTTTGGAAACCTGGATCCTAAATTGCAGAGATCCCTGTAAATGGATGCAATGGCACAGATACACAAAATGACAGTCACCCTCCATAACATCCTTTCAGAAGAGAGTAAGCAGTAGGTCACTGTGAGGTGGGCTGGAGTTTCTTGGCACAGCAAACTGAGGAATTAGGAACAATAATAAGCAAAGTGTTTGCTCTCTGAATAACAATCTCTTGATTTCTTCCACCAAAAAGAGACAGGACTCTTCCAACCAAAACAAACATTCTCATATCTTAGAGCAAAAGTCTGTCTCCTTCCTGGAGAGATTAGTGAGTGGGGACAATTTGTTTTCATTCATGCAATCCACATTCAGTTTAATTTATTTTTGCCCATTTAGAGAAGATAAATTTGCAAATGTTTTACTGCTTGTCTAGTACTTGGTTAAAACTTGTTGCATTTAATTTGAATTCCCCTGTATATTTCTTTTCCAGCTAACAGTGGCTCCGAAATTCCTACCAAATGCCTTGATCAGTGCAGATTTTGCAGCCAATTATCTCACTAAGATATATGGGCTCACATTTGGACAGAAACCAAAATTGAGGTAAGGGACAGGGAAGTAAAACAACAGTGTTCTGCCACTGCTTGGATACAACTGGTGGGTGATAAGAAACTATCTGGCTAAACCATGTTATTGCTTACTTGTGTTTTTTGGAGAGAAGTTGATTGTTTATTATTCTCAGCATGAAAGATCAAATAATCTCTTAAACAAACACATTCCAAGGGCTTTTACTGGCTGCCAGACACTTTTGCATATATAAAATTAAATTGTCCCCTTTTCATTTGTGTGTCAGTTAAGAATTGAAAAGAACAGCTTCAGTTTCTCAAAATGGAGATTAATGTTTAGAAATCTCTGGTTTTATTAGACCCCATTCATTTTTTAGAATAAAATGGGGTAGAGAGTGCAGTACTCAGTGCAGGTGAGTATAACTCAATTCCAGGAAAGCTTAGCCCTTCAGCACCTTCAGAAGTGGCTCATTCCCTCAGACCTGATGTCAAAGTCTCTGCTGGTTTCAGGTTGGGATTTGCTCAGCTGGATCCAATGCAGCACATTGGCCCATCCCAAACTCAGATGCACACAGACCACCTCCTGGGAGACAGGGGCTTTTCCAAAGGGGTTCTGAGTAATCTGTATGGACACTGCAGCATCCAAATCCTGCAAAGACCTTCCAGACTCTGTTGGGAGCAATTTATGCAGCCAAGTTTGGAAGCAGTTAATAGCAGCTGACCCAGCTGAGCCCCTGCAGTCCAATCTTGTGATGAACTGAAGAACTCTCCATTCCCACTGAACTCTTTGGGAGCTGAAGCTCCTCTGCACTTACTGGGCCTTTTGTCTCCTGGGCTCTTGGAACCTGAAAAGGCTGAGTCACCCACAGATTTCTGGCAATATCTCATGATGAAAGAAGCTACATTTATACATGTTTTCTTCCTTAATCTGAGGTGCAGAAGCTGCTGTGTTTTGATTTCATATTGAAATTACTGACTCTTCTGAAGTGATTTTCACACTCTCCTATACCAACACTAATTTTAATCAGAATAGGAACTCACTGATTTCCAAGATTGCTGATATAAAATCCTAACACGGTTGCTTCAGTTGTTTTATTTGCCCCCAGCAGAGTTCATGGTCTCAGAGTGACGATTTGGAAAGCAAGGTTTTCAGAAAGGCAAATATTTGTGAGCTAAAAGTACAGCTGACCATGCAGGGTAAACAATATTTCCAATGTGGCTCTGAACTCCCTGGAGTGTGTGATCACACAATTGTATTTCCATACTGAGCCTTTCCTTCCTTCCAACAGGATGTTGCCAAGTTTTCTGCAACTGGTGGAGAATCCAAGAACAAGTTGAAAAAGCCCACTTTGTGCTCTTTTGCAGTTTTAACCTGTCTCTACAAATTTAGCTGCCTGCTGCATCTTGGGGTAAACACAGGAAAGGGAGAGGGAATCAAAGTCAGTAAAAAGAAGTCAAATGAATTAATTTAGTTGAGCCAGTGAAAAGCAGGAATAACTTCATAGGGGTCCATTGTTTTGTACAGAATTGAAAGCTGTATAAGAAACAATGAATCAATTTTTGAAAACCTGATTGGAAAAACTCTTCTGTGAATATTAAAGATTTAAAGTAAGAAGAGCAAAGGGAAATAAGAAACCCTGTTTCTCTCAATCCCAAAGGCTTATTAAAAACCAAAATTCTTCCAGACTAAATCTGCTGTCTTTCTGTCAGTATCTTTTCCCTTTCTGAGTTCTAGGAGTAGGAGAGAAACCGAAAATTGTATTCATGTGCAGGTTTGGATTTTGAATAGACCTAAATTTCAGAGAGTGTTGGGACCAACCATTTGGTGTTGCATCTATCCTTGCTAAATTAAAGGGCACATTTTAAAAACAAATCCAATTAACTCAAAGAAAGAAGCAAAGATTGAAATTTAGTTTTAAACAGCTTTGTTGCGGAAAAAAAACCAACTCCAGCTCTCACTATCTGTTGAACTTCATCTTTTATCTCCTTCCAATAGATCTGTGTATCTTCATAACAACAAACTTTCAGATGCTGGGTTACCTGATAACATGTTCAATGGCTCTGCTAATGTGGAGATACTCATCATGTCCAGCAATTTCTTGAAGTATGTTCCAAAGAATCTCCCTCCAGCACTGTATAAATTACACTTACAGGTAATGACAACAAAGTTTTATATTCCTTTAGGGTTGTGACAAAGTGCTGTGTTGTGTAGGATTCAGCCCACACAGCCAAGCCATTCCAGTGCACTTGGAAACATCCCCAGGCCCATTTTCAGTCTCCTCTGCTGTATCCTCAACAGTTGCTGTCTCCCATGTCCTTGCTTTGTTGTCCATGAGTAACAGTGTTTTTGCAAAACACCAGGATGCTCACAGGGGACAGAAATGCTTTTCTGTGTTTTCAGGGTAATGTATTGCAAATGCCTGTGTGGTTGCATTGCTGGTCTCTTCCCTGCATATAATGATATTAATACGTAGTAGAGCAAGAAGGTGGGTCATTCTCCATGGCCATCCAGAGACTGGCCTCCCTGTTAAGTTTGCCACCAGTGCTGTTTTTCCTGAAGCTGCTTACCCCCCATGTCCTGGCTTTGCTCACTAACTCCTTTCACACAGACACTGTTTCCCATCAGTGACTCCTGTTTGCTACTGACCTGGCAATTCCGACAACACAGTTTGGATCAGTGATTCTCTACTGCTACAACTTCTCCAGCAACAGTGCAATAGCAGAAGTTGTGGTATTAACTACTCTCCAGCATTTTTAATTCCATGTCATCTGATTTTGATAAAAAGGCTTCATCCTGTCTGTGCTGGAGATCCCAGCCCTGTAACAATGGCAGAGCTGCTGCAGTGGGGAGCCCTGGATCCGCCTGCTCCGAGTGCTGACAGCTCCTTGGACATGGTTAGGCTGGAGTCTGTTATCAGCCCCTGCACTTAGGCAGTTCTCTGCTGCCTCCCAACTCTCTTTTCCCTTGAAGGTTTCACCACTAATTCCCGTTAAAGTCTTCTAGAGAATAGGCTTCTTCAGCTTGAAGAGCAGTAAAGGCAACCAGTCTGATCCTTTAAATCACTGGAATTTCTAAGTGGCATTTAGTTTTATATTTCATTTGTTTCTGCCTGCTGGCTACTCCAAAGCCACACTAAGGCCATGGGAGTAATTAAACACAGGAATGTACCTCTGGGTATGACATTAATGCTGGAAGGATGGCTGATTCCCAGCTTCCAGCCTAATTCTTCTTTATGGTGAAATCTGTCTTACAAGACTTAGAAATTCTGAGCAAACTCCAGAGGCGGTTGCCTAAATTGCAGTGTACATTGCACATAGGTAGAAGACTATGAATGCAAAATAAAACTGTCTGGGAGGCACAGGGCAAATTCTGCCTTCTTAGCCCAAAGTTTCCATGGGGAATCAATAAAAATAGTTTGTATTATTGCAGCCTAGTATTTGTATTTATTTCTTCAGTGGGATTATAACACCCCCTGAAATATCTTATGTCTAGCCCTTTTGAAGGTTAATTGCCTGTGTTAGCTGAACAGAACCTGAATGTCCTGAGTTGATTCATGCCAAGTAATGTGCTTTGTGCTCTAGAGCAACAAGCTGGAGAAGATTCCCAAAGGAGCCTTCAGTGAACTCACAGGTCTGCGGGAGCTGTACTTACAGAACAACTACTTGTCTAATGAAGGAATGGACAACGAAACTTTCTGGTGAGACTGAGCTGTGCAGTTTGTACCTCTGTGTCTGTGCCTCCTGTGGTACAGTTGAACACCTACTGAACAAAGGACATCATAAAAATCAAATTTATTAAAAGCTGTATGACGTGCATTTCACTGCTAAATCTTAGATGCTGCCATCAAAAGCAGAGGTCTGAGCGAGTGGTTGCAGAATAGTTTTATACAAAAGACACAACACTGAAATCAGCCTGTGCCACCCCCTGACTGCTACAGTGCCAGTCACACCAGGTACTAAGTGCCCTCTGGGTAAAGTCACCTAGAACAATGTTGGCAACCAGTCTCCGTTCTTCCAAACCAGTCAAAACTGAGGTTGCTTTGGACTTTTCAGTTTCTAGGGCAGTTCACTGGAAGTTAAGGCCAGACCTTCATCTTTGCTAAAGCCACTTCTGAGTTTCTGTGAAGGTGACTTGAAAGCAGCCAGAGACACAGAGCTGTGAATTCACCTGGCCCAGCTGCACCCCAGTGCAGGGGACTGGAGCAGGCAGGGGTGCAGTGGTGCTGCTCAATAGCCAGATGGCTGCAAAAGCTTTGCTACAAACTGGTGTAACAGAAATAGCCTTTGGATGTCCTAAATTTAGCCTGGGACTTAGCACTCGAAAATTTAACAGTTATTTCTCTGCTTGTTTTACCTGAAAATCCAGACCACATAATTGGTCCTGCCCATAACTTAGTTCTGTAAACTTTCCTGATCTCCAGACATGAAAATGTATCAAACTGTGCTTTCCCTTTCCATTTCCCATTCCCAGAAACCTCCCTTAGTAGTTCACTATATCTGTTTTGAGTCCACCTCCAGGTCATGTTGGACATATAATCTCTGTTAAGAAGTTCCCAAGCTGGGGAAACCTTACAAATTGCAGCAATGAAGTTCTTTACCCAAAGAGTCTATTTGTTCATTCAGAGAATGCTTGGCTAGCTGAATAGCAGTGTAGTAAGCAGTAAGTGATTTCTGTAATGCATTAGTTCTCACATTTCCTGAACACTTCCTAGTCCCCTGCAGTGGGTTATGTGGTGCCATGCAGATTGAATCTTTGAACTGAGACAGTGACTTGAAATACAGGGAATCCAGGATTCCTCAGTCCTGGCATATAACACCATTGATCCACATCCAGTTGGTATAAGTGGTTGAACTGAGGATTTAATTTAGCTTCAACTGAGACCATGGAATCCAGATTCAGTAGCTTACACAAAGCAGCTCTAGTCCTAACTCACTTCCATAATGCTGGAGGGTCAGGAGAAGTTCACTACCTTAGCCCAGGACACTGAGTTAGCATTTCTGCTTTTCATAAGAGGAACATTTCATCATCTAAAAAGCAGACTTGCTTTTCAGTTTCAGTATATCCTTTCAGAGAGACAGAAATTACTCCTGCTCAGGCTTTGTTTCTGTGAAACCAAGACCTAAATTCTGTGCTCTGATGGCACTCCTGTGGTACCTTCCTCATGGTCTTTCTTCACTGAACTTGCTCATGTGTTGCTATCTGTGGTGTCAAATGAGAGAACAGTGACTGCAAAACTCAGCCCAGTGGCAGTTTGGATGTCTGTGGACTGTGGCAGGTCCTCTGGCTGGTGTGGCTGGGGAGCAATGGCAGTGCCTAGTCTGAATCCCTAATGGCAATACAGGAGCTCCCTGTTTTGCTGTGCACATCAGTCACACCATGAGACAAAAAGGGCAGTCAGTAGTGGGAGCTGTCCTGGGTAAAAAGACTCTAAAGCAAAGATTGTAAAATCCTAGGGGACGTTGGTTATCATTTCACCTTGCCAAATCTAAATGGAAAATGTTTTCTTTCCTTCTTTCCCAAGGAAATTGTCCAGTCTTGAATACCTGGATTTGTCCAGCAATAACCTCTCACAAATCCCAAGTGGTTTACCTCGAAACATCGTCCTCCTCCACCTGGAGAAGAATGCAATTAAGGTGATTGACAGAGATGTGTTAACCCAAATTAAGAACCTGGAGTACCTTCTGCTCCACAATAACAAATTAAAAGCCCGAGGGATTCACCCATTAGCCTTCCAGGGCTTAAAAAAGCTGCACACTGTCCACCTGTACAACAACATGCTGGAAAGGATTCCCAGTGGGCTGCCCCGGCGTGTGAAAACACTTATGATCCTTCATAACCAGATCTCTGAGATCAACAGGAATGACTTTGCTACCACTTACTTCCTTGAGGAGCTGAACCTGAGCTACAACAAGCTCAAAAGTCCCCAGATCCATCGGGAGGCCTTCCGAAAGCTGAGGCAACTAAAGTCCTTGGATCTTTCTGGAAACAATCTCCACACAGTCCCCTTTGGCTTTCCAAAGAACTTGCAGGTCCTGAAGCTGAAGGAAAACGAGATAAGCATCATCCCAAAAGGGACTTTGTCTGGCATGACAAAACTGCGGGAACTGTATTTGAGCAACAATAAACTGAAAGTAAATTCAATTTATTCAAGAGCTTGGAGAGAACTCAGCAGTCTCCAGGTAGAAACACCACCTTCTCTAATTGTTGTAGTGATGCTGATGTCCTTGTCTGTCTGCCTAAGCCAAACTGCATAACACCAGTACTAGATGTGCTTGGTCCTCATGTTCTGGGCTTGCATTGTAAGAGCTACACACTCTGTTTCCAGATAGAAGTGATGTGCTGTTGTGCCAGAGGTGGGTACCTCCCACTGCTGGCCAGGGCATTGGCCCACCATGTACTGCTAATTCTGGGAAATGTAAAGATAGCTTTGTTTCTGAACCCTAGCAGTGTCCTATATTTTCAGATAAACATTAGTGAATGTTGTCATTAAGACTGAAATTAGGCCTTTCAAATAGCTTGTCTCCCAAAAGATTTAAAATCAGCTCTGAATGGAGACAGCAGGAGGAAGGAATGCATAAACAAAAACACTCTTAATTCTCAAAGCCCCCACATCAGCTTATGGTCAGACAGGCCAAGCTGTAGGATTTAGCAGCTCAGCTGGCTAAGGCACCTGGATAGCAGCTAGGAGGTCTGGATTCAATCAGCAGTCTTCTCATTTGCTTAATTGTTGGAGAAAGTTAAACACAAACCATAAGGCAGGCTGGAACAATCAGATTTGTGCTGTGCAAGATGACCTTTCACAATTGTTATGCTGGCTGAAGGATTTGTCTGCCTTTCCTTTTAGGCAACAGCCCCTTTCCTGCAGTGAAAGGTATTACCTTTGTCATACGGCAGCCACTGCGGGTTCGTATGGTCACTGTGCAGGCAGAGTGCACATCTCAGAGCAGATCAGGGATAAGGGACATGGAACATATGTCACACTGGCCCCAGTGTGTGTTCAGACAATCCAAACGTTAATCTGTGTGAACATTTCCCTTTCTGTTGTTTCTGGAACTAAACAATAGCTTGTTTTTCAGTTAATATGAATCAGCAATGCAGCAGCAGTATCTGCAGAGCTGTTGGTTTGCATCAGCTGCAGATTTGATCCATGGTTTAATAATACACTTTGCCTTTGTTTGATGCCTCACTTATGTATGTGTGTGTGTGTGCATGCAAATACACCTAACATGAAAAGTAGTCTGGAAGGAAGATGCTGTTGAGAATTACAGCTGCTTGGATTGTTTTTCTGCAGTCCCTTAATAAAAATGTAGGTTGTTTTATTTTCAAACAAAATTGGGTCATGAGACCTGTTAGGCAGCTTGACTTGGCTGGAATAAGCTTTCATTCTTGTAGGGCCCATTCCAGCTACTTCGTGGCACTTTTATTCTACTGTCACTCCCTTGTCACTCCTCAGTGTCAAGCCAAAGTAACATGTTGGAGAATCAAACACTGGCCCTGCAGTTGGACCTACCCCACAGCAAACCCCATTCACATCAAACAAGGTTCAGATAATAGCACACACTTAAAATTCTGTGGGGCTCATGGTGCATTTTTGGCTGGTGCTTTTCTTTGGAATAGTATTACTGTTGGTTAGTTGTTTCCATTATAGTTATAGTTGAATATTTTTTATCATTAAGGGCTTAACTGTGCAAGTGGTTTCTGAGTTGGTGCACTGGAGTGCATTTGACTGATAACCAGTACATAAGATCCTGATGGTGCAGGTACTTAGTAAAGGCTTTAGTCCTCACTGTTTCCATGGAAATCACTGGAGACTTTCTGCAACTGCAAAGCAAGACTTTTACATAATGCACTTGGCAGTGCTGGGCTAACAGTTGGACTCAATGATCTTAAAGCTTTTTTCCAACCTAAAGGATTCTATGATTCCATGATAATTGTTTGCCAGACTGGCATTATGTGGGGAATAAAAACACTGGAATCATGTTGTTTGCAGAAGTGTAGCTTTGAATAGTGTGTTACTAGTGTGTGTCAGCTTGGTGCTATGAAAATGCTGCAATACAGGATAACAAAACACTGCTATTGATCCATTCTCTTGCATAAAATTAAACAGAGGAGTGATAACGACCTTTAGTCCTGATGTCTCCCTCCATGTTAGAACATTTCCAGATGTTTTTATGTGTAGCTGTACCTAGTCCCTAACCTTAGCCAGGGAAGTGTTTGCAGTAGCAGCTTCCAAGGAATTCTCAGGCATATCTCAAACCCAGCCTGTTCTTAATTTACTTAAAGCCTGGGGACAGAGATAAATAAATGTTGGAGCTCCAAAACAAACCAGCATGATGTCTGATGTGAAATCAGGATGCTAAATAGCAGTGTAAGAGAGTAGAATTGTCTTGGCCACACTTACTTAGATGCAAATTAGAGGCAGATTAAATTAGTTTATGCTATAATAAATACCAATTCAAACTTAAATATCTTCTGGATTGTTTCTAATATTTAAATTCAGTTATTTATTTGACCCCTGGTTGTCTCTTCCTTGCAGTCACTAGACATGGCTGGCAACCAGCTGACATCCATCCCATTGGGCCTGCCTGAATCTCTGGAATATCTGTATCTCCAGAACAACAAGATCACCACGGTTTCAGAGCATGCTTTTGAATCCACACCCAAAATAAAGGGGATTTACCTCAGGTAAGGTCAAGTTTCCACTTAAGCACACAAGATTAGTTTTCTTCCTTGTCCACTTTATAATTGCTTACATTTTAGGAAGTGTTTAAAATGCTAACTTTCTAAATGAGCAACTTTGTTTTATAGTAACATGTGAGGAAACTATGTTCATCTGCTCAGGAAAGACATGGATACACATAATAAGCTCTTTCTGTTCAGAGAGCTTGTCTTTTCTGTGCTTATTAGAATGGATTGGCATGTTAGTAATTCTGGGAAATTAATGCTTAATATTGTGTCATATTCCAATATTCAACTGTGACCCAGAAGTTTACAGTCCACTTCTAGGAGCGCAGCTTTGCCTGTGCCTGTTGGCCCTGGATTTTGACAAAATCCCCCTCCGGTGAGGGTGTGTGACTAATGTTGAAGTTGTGCACGTTCCCTTGATAGTTTTGTCAGAAACAAGTGGCCAGTTGCAACTCTGACAGTTACGTAACTAAGATTAGAAGCTTTGCTGGTTTTTTTCTCACTCTGTCGGTTGGATGAGGATTTTTTTTTTATAGGTGACAGATACTGACCTTTTTTACATGTAATGTAAACTCACAGTAATGTAACTGGTTTAAGCAGAGCTTTATACCACAAGAAGTGCAGCAAGAATCTGTCCCAGTAATATATTCAGTTTTAAACTGATGGCATATTATTGAAAATATTTATTAGAAGTAACTTATGAATCCCTATAGAATATTTGATTAAGCTGATCCAGTAGATGTGTTCAAAAAGCTCAGTCTGCACAAGACTAAATATGGTCTTATTTTGTCTGTATGCAACTAAACTGCCCTGTAGTTCTGAATAACTCTGGAGCATACCTTTTTGGATGAATGATTCCATACCAGGCAAATAAAATTACAAAGTCTGGTGTAAATTAGAGCAGTCTGTCTATTCAGCTGCTCACATTTATGAGATTTTAGTGAATGCTTGGATGCGAACCAGAAACCACATACCACATTCTATATTTCTATATAAAGAAGAAAGGAATTTGCAAAACAGTTTTGCTAACATATTTAGGAGGCAACTCCACCCAAGCTAAGTTGTATTTTTTAATGGGAGACTATTAATCACTGGGAAACAATAACATACATATGGAATATTAGACAGAATATGATTTTAAGCGTGTTCACAAGTCACAGACCAAGCAGTAAATGTGAGAGGTTCTTAAACTGCAGATTATTCCTGGAAACACAAATAACAGCTGAAAAATTACTGCATGTTGCTTTTTTTCTAAGGAATACTTGGTACCAGTATTTTGAGTTTTGTGGGTGAAGAATTAAGGTATCAAGGAGTGACAGAGAATCTCATGAAAAATCAAGCTACACTTTGAAATGTGGGCTATGGAGCAGATGACTTTCCTCTTTGGGAAGGAGGAAGCAGAATAGCAAGAGAAAGAATTTGTGGGGGAGGAATATATAATGATTTTGTTTCCTTCCCCCATCCAGAGGAGCCAGCACTTCTAGAGCACTGTTGTGGATCAGTGTAAAGACAGAGTAACTTGGATCAGTGGAAAGTTAGAGGAACTCTGCAGAATGGCTTCCTCCAAGTCTCCTCATTTCTGTGTTGGATATAAAAAATGGGTTTAACAGAAGGGCATTTTTGTTTGTTTACAGGTTTAATAAGATTGCAGTTGGAGCACTGAAAGAAAGTACCTTCCAAAACCTAAAGTACTTACAGGTACTGGATATTGAAGGGAACCTTGAATTCAGCAACAGTTCAAAGAATAAGGATGATTCAGAAGAGGAAATGGAAGATGAGGAAGAGGAAGAAGAACTGAGATAAAATGTGAACTCACACAATCACACCATGTGAGAGGTAACAGCTGTAGTTCAAGGATCCAATTCTCAGACTTTCGTGCAAATAATTCCAATTTACACATATGATTAAAGCATAACAAGGGTGATTGAGCCCTGGACTCAAAGACTTCCACTAAAACATGACTGTGAATTGCAAATCAAGAAGGTTTGAAAATACATTATTTTGTAAAATGAAACAGTCAGTATATATCTGTGTTTTAGCAGAGGCAGTGGACTGTTCCTAGTGGCTTCTGCTTATAGCCACAGCAGGCACAACAGTTAAATATGAACATCCTTGTTTACTAATTCGGATAACAAAAAAATGAAAAGGTATTTCATGATAACTTTTAAGCAGGTAGCTCAAAAGGAAAACAAAGAACAAACTAGAAAGCTTACTGATGCAGAAGACCATGTGAGCTGAAAATGGATTTAAAAAATTATGCAAATTAAAGTAAGATTAGACCCACTGTCTGTTGAACACGGCATTAAGATTACAACCTGTCTCAAGCAGTACTTAAATCACGGACCACTTGGAGTGGGAAAATAATGCTATACTTGGTATATTTCTTATGGAAAGAATAGTCTTTCTAGTTGAATCTCTTATATTCAACTGCAGAAGAAAAGATGAAGGGAGAATAACGTTTGAAGAATATGCATTTTTTCATAAGAATAACGATCTGCCTAATGTATCTCTTAAGCATCTTATATTCAAAGACAATGAGATTCAGGACTACTCTTTACTTCTGGAGATTTAACCTTTAAGAGTGGAAAAAGAGAATTAGCTTTCTCCCTAATCAACATTTTGTCACGGAGAGTGACACAAGGAATTGCTAGGAATAGTGCTAATACGCTTAAAAGATGATGGGGCTTGGAAAGGGCAGAAGCTACTTGGAAAGTCAAACACCAGACCTCGAGGCTGGGCTGTATGAAAACTTTGTGAGGGAAGAAATAATTTATATCTGCAGACTTAGAGTACATATAACTTCAAAATCAGTGTATCTCTGGTTTAGTTTAGGACACGTGTGACATGTTAGCAGGTACTAAGTTTATCTTACTCCGAATTCTGTATTGCATTATGTAATTTATTTTATTTTTCTGTTTTGCAGGAAAACATATGGAAACTTACATATATGTCTATGTGTATATATCTATATAGATATACAGAGAACACTTAGCAGAACGTGCAATGAATTACGCAGAAACTGTCGTGGCACTGAGCCAGGCTCATGGAAGACAGTGTGTTACAGTGCCTTATTCAGGGAAAGACCCTGAATGCCTTTCCAAAGCTTCCAAATCATCTTATACAAGACCCAGGATCATAAGGGATTGCTTGGGAACTCACAAAAGCTGGCTTTTGTTTCTTCTGTTTCTCTTCCTTCACTGTTTCCATCTGTAATATGGGGCTGTTTTCAACACATGCCTTCAAATGCCATTTTTGTCGCTGCATTTTAAGTGAACCATGCATAAGCTTCTTTTCCTCCACCCCAAAGAAGCTGTTGCTGATCAGGCAAGATGAATATTTTCAGTAGTTTCATGTGTGGAGCAGTGTATGAGGCATTTTGGTCATCAAGCAACACTAATAATTCTGGATGCAACTACTCCTCTGTTATAAAAATGTGTATATTTGGATGAGAAAAACAAAATAAGGCTGGATCCCAAAATATTTTATCTCTACTGCCAAAGCCTGCAGTATATTCCTGTTTTAGAAAGGTTTTAAGATAAAACTATTGCTCTTGTGAATATATATATATATATATATATATAAAATCTGTATGTCTGCCTTCCAGAGCTTTGCTAAAGTCTCTGTTTGCTCTTGTATGCCCGTGTGGCAGTTGTGTGAATGTCTCTAAAGGTATGGAGTGACAGTGTGAAGTGTAATATATGTGGTTGAATTTTTTACATAGTGTATCTTATTCTCATTGAGAGTCAGGAGTGAGACTAGTGATGTAAAAGAGATAAGTGAGCGTGGGCTGTCTTAGGAGAAAACTGTTAAGTGTCAAGAGAAATTTGTTTAGTTCAAGTCTTGAGACAGTGCCTGGTGTTGTACTCAAAGCCTCACCTATTTTATGATGTCAAGTACTTTCAGCTCCTGTTGGAGTCATGGAAAATAAGGAAACCAAGGAAAAGAAGACCCACGGAGGTACAAGTTTTTTAGTTGATTATAATGTCCTTCATCTGAGGCAGTTAATCTGCATGAGGAAATGGTCTTTTCTTTTGAGGATTTCTGATTGAACACATGTTGTTTTGTACACTGCATTCCAGGATTTACTTGGAAACACAGTTGGCTTAATTTTTTACCAGCTGTTTTCCTGCTGGAGATCTAGTTCCACACTCTCCCTTTGGTTCCCATAGCACATGACAGTAATTTCAAGCTGTTTCCTACCTTAGACAATTCAACACAATCATCAATCATAGAAGGAAAGATTTCTTCCTGAAAAAAATAAGAACTTGGCCCTAAAAACTGCAAACCCCCATATTTTTGAACAGCAGCTATACAGCTGAGCAATAAAACGGCCTTCTTGACTGCTGGGATAGATTTCTACATAAAATGTTTACAGAAGTAGCTCAAGTCAACTAGCTATCTCCAGCAAACACCAGTGGAGGTTTTGTTAGTCTTTGGTGAAACAGAGCAATTGATTAAACTCCTGAACAAGCTGAGAATATGCAGATTTATACAGTTTTATGGAGAACTGTTCTATTATCTTTAAACTTCTGTCCCTTACACTGTGCTCCTGTGAAGAGTCAGTTGCCTCGGACTTCCTTTGAATCCCTTGAGAGTCTGATGCACTGAATGCAGGGTGAAGGTGCATTTTAGCACCTGTAGGTCAGGCCCAAAATGTCAGAATGATACATACACTGTTAAGCTTCTTTAGCAAGCAGCAGCCTTTGCCAAAGGAGACCCACCTACAGCTGAAGGAATGTATCATGTAGACCAGGCAGAGGCAGGAAACCCTTATCCAAGTTTATTTCAAAAAAAAAAATGCATGCTGTCCTTTAAATAGGACAATGTTTTCCAGCAGAAAAAAAAAAAAAAGACACCCTTCTTTCCCAGTAAAAGCCTAAAACCCCACAAGAGGAATGTATTTTGATTGCTTTGTAAGAGATTGATGAGGGAGAACCACAGGCCTGATTCCTCACTTACCTGGTATCATCAGCACCTATGACATTGGACATAATACTGTCAAACCAAAATGGTAGTTTATGTCTTTTAAAGGAGTAAGAAGCTTGATGAGAGATGTTGAGAAATAGTCAGAACTCCGTGGGACTAAGCCCACATAATTTTTTGGCTGTGGGTGGTAGCCTTAATCCAAAGATCCAGCCTTGGGTAGAGCAGGACCCATGAACAGGCTCTAATTTTATTATTTTCTTTAGTGAAAATGAGAGTTGGGAAACTGGAATTTTCTTAGGCCACAAAGAGGTAACACAAATGTTGTTCTCATGTAACTTTCTTCCTGTGAATTGCTTGGATTTGGGAAAAGAAAAATAGAAAGATTTTAAAGCTGAGATAGATGTATAAATAGTGAAAACTTGAAGTCTAAAACATTCAGTTGGCAACTTTATCCCTAAGTATGCATTTGCACAGGCCACATGGTCTGTATGGAGGAGTTTATTTGCTTTTTTGCTTTTAAAAGCCATGTTTCCTCATTACAGAGGATACTGCACAAAACAGGGGGAAATGGGATTTTTTCAAGCTACAATTTTTCACAGCAACAGGAGTACAAATGCAGCATGTGAGCTAGAAAGAACTAATCGGGTGCCAAAAATAGCCCCTGGATAATGAGCTTTTATTTCAGACGGTGGGCACGTAGCCCATCTGTGTCTCCATGTGGATGGGCCATTCTGCAGCCATCCTGCCCCTCATCCCTGTTCCTCTGGGATCCTCACCCCATGGCCAGCCATCCTGCCCCTCATCCCTTGCTTTGGGATCCTCACCCCATGGCCAGCCATCCTCCCCCTCATCCCTTGCTTTGGGATCCTCACCCCATGGCCAGCCATCCTCCCCCTCATCCCTTGCTTTGGGATCCTCACCCCATGGCCAGCCATCCTCCCCCTCATCCCCTTCCTTGGGGGTCCTTGCCCCATGGCCATTCCCTCACGAGGAATGGGGCACCCAGCACCTGCTCCCTGCCCACTCCTGCCCTCTCCTCACTCCTGCCCCACACGGCTCCCCTCGGGGAACCCCATGGCTTGTTATTTGGGTGTTTCTGGGAAGAAAGGCCCAGGAGAGCTGTTTCTTCCCCAGAGGTATTATCTCCCCATACAGCGTTATGCCCTTTGCCTCCCCTGGGTGCTGTGAGGGGCTGGGGGTCAGACTGGATCCTGGGAGCCCATTTTCCTCTGCTTTCCACGTTCACACTACTGGAGGGCTCCTCCTGCTGTCCCAAAGGGGCAAAAAAGTCCCCTAGAGGAGCGGGCGCCATCCCGCCGGCTGTGAGGGAGGAGCGGCCCCGGCCACGGCCGTTCCTCTCTGGGGAGGGAGGTGGCACAAGGCCGCGGCTCTCCCGATGCCAGGGTGGCGTCCCTGTGAGCCCCTCTGGAAGGAACACCCTGATCCCGCTTGTCTCCAGCCTCGGCTGGCAGGAGGGGTGAGTTGTGGGGACACCAGCGGCCATGTGGGCAGGGCGGGAGGCAGGTGAGGGGCGGGGGCTCAAGCGACTCTGTGGTGTGGTAAGGGGGGGTCCTGCTCTGCCTCGAGGGCCTCACACACCGTGCTGTGGTGGTTGGGGTCTAAGTGTTATATTTAATGAAAAAGAAGTGCTTTATGCAGTATGTATATATTTTTCTGAGGAGAAAATTAGTTAATTTTTTTTTTTTTTTTAATTAGGGAAGATGGGGCAAGACTAAAAGAGTGTATAATGACAGGACAAGGTGGGGTGGGTTCATATTGAAAGAGAGTAGGTTTAGATTAGGTATTAGGAAGTAATTCTTTACTGTGAGGCACTGGCCCAGGTTGCCCAGAGAAGTTGTGGATGCCCCGTCCCTGGAAGTGTTCAAGGGAACAATGGGGCTTGGAACAACTTGGTCTAGTGGAAGGTGTCTCTGCCCATGGCAGGTAGGTTGGAACTGGATGATCTTCAAGTTCCCCTTCCAACCCAAACCATTCCATGAATCTGTGATTCTGTGAAAAAAAAAATAAAAATTAAAGAAACCTCCAAAGGAAAACCTTGGATGAAATATGAATGGGGATGTGGTGGGGCAGAGCAAGGCTACAAAGGCCTCCCTTGTGGGAGTGGCAGCAGCTCCTGAGGAACTGACTGCAGCCCTGGCAGCAGGACAGAGTCCCTGGCAGTGGGACAGTGTCCTGAAGTGGGACAGTGTCTCTGGCAGCAGGACAGAGTCCCTGCCAGTGGGATAGTGTCCCTGCAGTGGGACAGTGTCCCTGTGGGTCTGCTCCCCGGGGCTGGCAGCTGCATCCCTCACTAGGGGCTCTTGGCCATCAGAGCTCTTGGCTCATAAATCCTGCAGGATTGTACATTAAAAGGGCAGGTGGGGAAAGGATCCTCCAATTCCTGCAGGTGCTGAGGAGCTGGGCTGGCAGGGTTGCTCCTGAGACCTCTGTGCTACAAACCCCCTGTTCTGCTGCTGTGCTAGATGGATAGAGGGGACTTTTCCTGAGCAGGCTGAGGACCTGAGTAGCAGGTGTTAGGTACATCCAGGAGGAAGGCTATGGACCTGCATTAACAACGTGGATGAGAATGGGAAGTATCCTCCTTCCAGAGACCCCACTGCCATTTTTTCTGCTTCCCAGTGATCCACACAGAGCTGGGAGGCAGGAGGGGGCCGACCAAAACTTTTTGATTGTTCTCGCTTGACTGTGTTTCCTAATGATCAGTAAGAGTTTAGCTTGTTAGGCTGCTTGTCACCATGTTGACTGAGCACACTAACTTTTTTACAGATTCTGCTTACAAAAAAACTAAGCAAATTTATTCTTATTTAATAATAAAATACTTTACAAATAGTCTTTTTTGATGGGAAGCCATCTCTTGGAAAGCTTCTATGCTATAGTCCAATATCCTGTAATTGATTTCATTTTACTCTAATATTGGTGAGTTTTGCTTCCCAGGTTTGGGAATAGATGTCCCCAAAACTTAAACATATATAGAGTTTTATATAATATGAATTTAGCCTTGTTTTTTCAAGATATTTCTTTTTCTGATGGGATTAATTTATGGAGGTCATTGTAATTGGTTTATTATGTTGCTAATACAAGAACAGTGAGTAAATTCCCTGAAGAACTCCATTTCCTTAAGTAAGGAAAATATTGGTGTGCCCTGTAGCTCTGATTCATGCTGCTATTGTGAAGTCAGCCAGCTGTGAGATATATGTGTAGGCAATGGATGATAAATGTGTTCTAATAATCCAGTATACAAAGTATTTCCATAAAAATTCTTCAGTAGTATCCAAGGACATTAAACAGTCCATCAGTAAAGTCCCTCTTCAAATGGTTTTGAATCAGGCAAAGACTGTTTTAATGCACAGTTGTACAGGCTATCTCAAGTTTTCCCCATGAAAGTTCCAGAATCTGTTTTTAGCATATGATTATGATACTGCTGAGAATGTTGCTTCTGATAAAAATTCATGTTGATTTTCAGTATTCTCATTTCTAGTTGCATACAAGAAATTAATGATACTTATGCTTTTATTACTTGGGATATAATTGTGTATTTGTCGACAGTCATCACAGAAGTTAGCTTTAAAAAAATGCTAAGATATATCTTTTATACAGGATTAAAATTAACTTTGATAACTTACGGAGCACTCTACATCTCTCCTCTTCTTTGTGGCAGACTTGGGGCTGTTTAATTCCAATGCAGCAGTGGGATGAAACTCAAAGCCCTTCCTGCTAGAGCTTGATCCAACCACAGTGGTGGACTGACACCCTCCTGTCCATCCTGATTCCTCCTTCCCCAGATATTTGGTTAGGAAGGATTTCATGTCAGAGAAATGCTTTCTTCTATTAAAAAAAAAAATCAGGAAGACTGGATGATTTATTCTAAAGCAAAGATAATGTATTTGCTGATTAAACTAGCAGTGTAGACTACCCAAATCTCTGTGCTTTAAGTTTGTTTTCAAGAAATCTCATTAAATATTAAAGAAATATTTAAAGTATTTCAATGGAAAAAAAGATGGAAGATTATGATTAAAAATGCTCAGTTTGACTTAGTTCTGTATACTTTCCACATGTTTTTAATAGCCTAGTGGTAAAACCCAATAAAACCACTAGAAGCAATGAAATCATAATGAAACATCTCAAGGTCAGTCTCATTTTTCTTTTGGTTTTGCCATTTAGCCCATACAGTATTTGTTGCAGATGTAATGTGAGATATCTGTGAACATAAAACACTTCTTGTTTTGCTTCCCCTTCTTTTTCCATCTTATTAAAATACCTGGGTTGTTTTTTTTGGGGGGGAGGTGGGAGCTGGAGATGTTAAATCCTTATTAGGAAAGTTCAAAAGCAACAGTTAATTACAGTGAGTTTCATGTGGTGGGTCGAATCCTGGCTTTCAGCTGTTGCTGTGTGCAGAAACACAGCAGCAGGCATTTGCTTCCCAAATGAAATGCAGAGACCTCTTTGTGCTGAAAGGTGACTGCTTTCAGAGCAACAGATGCAGAACTCTGTGCCTTGCAGAACAAAAACTCCTATGATGGAGCCTGGAAAG